GTACCCTACATCTTTATAATAAATTTTTAAAAAAAATCAGCTGTCTACATCTCAGCAGATCAGCTGTGTTTTCTCCTAAGCCTCTTCATGCCACTTGTACTTGCCACTATACATAAAAATATAATAAAATACTATGTAAAGCAATACAATGATTTTGTAAAGAGTTAACATTTCTATAAAAACTAAATTCAATGCTTTCAAAAGATGTAATTAAAAAAAATTTTTTAAAGATGTTGAATTAAGTGTGAATGAGGAATTATAGAGTGGAAAATATTGTAAGAATCTAGAAAAAGTCTATACCCAGGTAGCTACACAAGTATCTTTTAAGTTCTTGAATCTCCTTAAAGAAATTTAAAGTAAAAAGTAGGAGTGTGGTTCATGAAAGCCAGAACTCTGAGTTGAAAACTCTTCTCCAAGAGAAAGTCTTGGCCCTATATAATAAGATCAAGAAATAAACACACATTTAGGTTTTAAGTTAAAATGTTTACAACATGAATATATCTTTTGTTTTTGAGTCAGAGTCTCACTCTGTTGCCCAGGTTGGAGAGCAGTGGCATCCTCACAGCCACCGCAGCCTCAACCTGCTGGGCTCAGGCGATCCTTCTGCCTCAGTCTTCCAAGTAGCTGGAACTATAGGCACATGTCACCATGCCTGGCTAATTTTTAGATTTATTGTAGAGATGAGCCTGAAGTTGCCCAGGCTGGTCTCGAACCCCATGGACTCATGCAGTCCTCTCACCTCGTCCTCCCAAAGTGCTGGGATTATAGGTGTGAGCCACTGTGCCCAGCCTATAATTTTATATAATTCCCACTTTTAACCAACTGTCTCAACAAACTGACCAACTCCTCTGGTTACATTGTGGAAGAGGGCTTCTCCAAATTCCTACCATCTGCTTACATGAAAGGTAGCTGGGTGGTCTTTCTCCTTCTGAAACACAGATAGGCTACAGAACAGAGAAATTCATTTTTAAGAACACAGCACATGATCCATTTTATGGAACAAAGAAAGCCTGAGCACTGCTGTGCACAATACCATCACTGTGGAGGACCAAAAGATGAGTGGTCCAGCAGTCTGTCTCCAAGGCACTTATAGTCTAACTATACGTTGGAGAAGCACATGAATGGCAAAAATGTAAAGTAGAGAAAGGAAGACGTATGACATCTCCCAAACTGCTATGGGATTCAACGGAGAAAGGTATTCCTCAGAGGGAAGGATCTGGAAGTCTTTACGGAGGAGGCGGGCCAGCAGGGAGCTGAGTAGAGACAAGGTTTTGTTGTTTGTCATTATTCCTATCCTTTTCCTGTCTTTCCTCCATTCCTGAGGCAGCCCTAACTTTGGTGGTAAGAGACTGAAAATATAAGCAGGAAAAGACACTCGATGAGGTCCCAATTGGCAAGGTCCCAGAAGAGGCAGAAGGGGACAGGGGGATAAAAGCAAGAAGGGAGAAGAGACCCATGGCAAGGAACAGGGGGAAACCCGAGGTAAAGGGACAAGGAGATTGTGAAGGTAAAGGGAGAGACGTTGAGTTAATGCACCAGATCAGCTCTGTCTTCTCATTAGATAGGATGCTGGTTATCTGCTGAGGGTGGCAGAGAGGGAGCAGGAGGCTTGGGAAGAAGATTAAAAGCTGCTGCAGTGATGGAATTTCAGGCTGCACTCTTCAGAATACTATCTCCTGGCCAACATTTAGAAAAATTCTACAAAAGTCTAAAATTACGAAACTGCCACTTTGTTATTGCCTGAGGGGGAGATGAGAGCCTTGCAGTGTCGACATCCTTGCTGCACAGGGCTTTGCTGCTAGGGACACCAGAGGCCTTCTCCTTTAGAAGCAAGATTCTTTCCTGGACCCTCTTTCCCACATCCACCAAAGAGTGAATCACTAGTTAGATCAACTACATGACCCTGGATAGGGCATTAGCTGATTTAAGCCATTCCATGACACACAAAGAAAGAGTGGTCACTGTCGAAAGAAAACTGAGATTAAAAAAGTCTGACCAGACTTATAAACAGATGAGCGTAGGCAAAGACGCATGCCCAAGTGCACATACACGTGTTCAAGTGAATACTCAGCCAGCCTAGCCTACAAAGGCCTCCAGTCTTTCCCTAGAGGCAATAAAGTGTATGAACAAATCAGACACCCAGTGTCATTCTTGACCCTTGACCCAGTTGCTTGTAAGCTTAGATGACTCATCAAAGTGATGCTTTTAAAAACCATCTTGATCAGGTAAAATTTATGTATTATTAATGTGTTACCCCGAAGTATTATTAGTACATGTTATACATCCCTAATCCAAAAATCTGAAATGCTCCAAAAATTCTAAATTTTTTGAGTGCCAACATGAGCCACAAGTGGAAAATTTCATACAGGATCTCATGTGCTGGGTTGCAAACACAGTCAAAATTGTGCTTCATGCATAAAATTATGAAAACTATTACATCAAATTACCTTCAGACTATGTATATAAGGTATATATGTAACAAATGAATTCATATTTAGATTTGGTCCCATCTCCAAGATATGTCATTATGCCTATGCAAATATTTTACAATTGGAAAAATTCTGAAATCTGAAACACTTCTGGTCCAAAGCACTGCCTCTCCTTAGATGCCTAACATACCCGTCATTATGAGTAGCGGCTCTCTGGTCATGAGGGCTTTGGGGTCTCTTCCCCAGCCCTGGATTCCCAAGGAGGCTCTTAAACCATTGCAGATTTAGCTTAGCAAAGCAGGGAAGGCCTCCATGATGGCTGAAAAACTGACCCCATGAATATTCCAAAAGTTCTTTAAGACAGAGAGATATTTTAAGCCTAACCTAGTGCCATCTGCAAAATGGTGATACAGCAACAAAGAATTTTCTTTTCTATCTTGACTGGAAATGTTTAGAACATTTGTGTCTGTCTACTTAAATGTATACATGTGTGTATAAAATGCATGTATGTGTATATGACTCAGGTGCACACACATAGCATGTTTATAGTTCTTGCAGCAGAGACCTCTTCCAATGCCAGTGAACAGCAGAACGCTCTGCTTCCTGCTTCCCTGCAGGGTGACGAATTATTAAACTTTCCCCTAATTGAGTTCTGGCTGCCAGGTCCACAGGGATTATTACTTATATATAAGTAAACAAAATTTCCATTTTAAACAACGCTCCAAATCTTCTCATTATATTTTAAACAGTTATAAATTCACTGAAGTCAAGCAAGCCGTGGGATGGGAGGCTGTGTGCATTCTGGCCTGGATCCCTTCCCCTTGAGGGGCAAGAGGTGCCCTCAGACCCTTCTGGGGCTGACCTGGGCTCTCGCACCTTCTTTGTTCTCATCTACTAAAACATTAGAAAGTACCTAGAGGAGGTTCTGGAAGTCATTCATGGTATTTGCCTTTTACCTTAACCTGAATTTATTATTTAAAAGCAATTCTCTTTTATAATTTAAAAATAGGAAGAAGATTAGTTTGATGTTAAATATTTAATAGGTGCCCAGAATTCATCAAGTACAGATTTGGGGTGAATCACTGGGTTTAGGGAACATCCGAGTCTAAACTTTTGCGGAAGCTGCCATTTCAGGTGCTTACATTTGAAGTAATCTAATTAACTATTTCCTTGTTTTCAAGATTTCTCCCTACTTTCAGATTCTAAATTGAGAGCAGAACCACGAAAAACAAAAAAGTGTGAAACTGAAAATAGAGTTGTTCTAAGTTTGGTTTGAAACCTAGAAGGGGAAGATGATCCTGTCTCCTGAGTTCTCAGTACCTTCTGGGAGCCATTTGGCTCAATATTCAGTTCTTTTGCAAGTCACCCTTTGCTGAAAGTACAGCAATCCATAGCAGGAGCTGATTGTTATTATTACTATTGACAGCTGCTTAAAAGAATAAAATAAATATTTTTCAGACTCTCACATTCACACTGCTAAGACATTACCCAGAAAAAGACAACAAGAGCAGGATTTAAATCCAGCTCCCACACTGTCAGGAGAAATGTAGATAAAATTCTGTGGTGCATTTTAAAGGTCTGGATTGTCTCAGCCCTATTCTAATCCCTTGTTTCCTTCTTTAAGAATGTTATTTTAAACAGAAGCGCTCTACATGGTATGAACCCTTTATGGATCATGTGAAAGATCCCCATTCAACATACTCTGCTCCTCGGCAGTCAGACCTTTCTCACCATCGCGGGTGTCTGGAGAGTCAGATGGCACTAGGGGCCAGCTGCGTGTGTTTTGAAAGCCCCACAGAGGTGGACACTGAGGGACTACAGAAGCCACTGCCTGGCCAGCCCTGTGGCCCACACTGGCTTTAAAAACCCGGTGAGGTCAATGGATCACTTAATCTATGGCCTAAGACACCCACTGGAGACACTCAGCTAATTTGGTACTCAAACTCTGCTAGGCATGAAGTAGACATTACTTCACAGACAAAGGACAGAGAACTGCACCAAGGCCAGTGTCAACACAAAAAATAGCCTAGAGGAGCATGCATAACCACCGTGTTGGGGACCTGGCAGTGTAGCTCACTCACAGAGCAGACATCGTGCCTGGGTTTCGACAGTGAACCTTCACCACGGGCACAGCCTGAGGCAGACAGCCAGAATCCAGTTAGCTATTCAAAAGTCTGATTTCTACACTACTTAAAAGACATGGCTGTTTATTTCAGGCCCATAAGATGGACTCAAGCTAATGACTAAGGATATGCTGCCAGGGTGATTTGGTGGATAAATGTTGATCTTTTGTGATGAGCACCTTTAGGGTTTGTGAACAAAGAAAGGCTCTGAAGCAGTTGTGTTTCTTTGTATAAGTCTGCCCTCTCAGGGTCTCATGCAATCACGTTTGTAAATGATCTTTACCAAAGCAAGCCCTTGGACGGTTCAAAGGTAAACTTCAGCCCAGACTTTATAATGATCTTGAATTGCGATCACCGAACTGCAGGGAGAGGTCATGGCTGCCCTAGAGGAGGGGTCTGTGGCTGGGGTGAGAGCTGAAGGGGAGGTGCAGGTGGGGGGGCGACTCACTTCCCCCTTTCCCGCTTTTCTCCATCCGGTACTGGTAGATGTGCAGCGTGAAGAACATGTGTGAGTTGCGGTGGTCGTCCTCGTCGCAGTCCTGCTGGTGGCTCCGGCGGGAGGCAATGGCAGCATCCAGGAAGAAGGCGGCCTTCTCTGCGGTGGGGGCCCGCAGCTCGCTCTGGTTCTGCAGCTGGAAGACAGAGGTTGGGAGCTGAGGCAGCAGCCTGAGAAGGGCTTGACGGCCCCCATACCTGGGTGAGACCAGTTCTACTTAGTTGGTTGTCCTGTCTTTTCTATAAAGCCACAAGCCTCTTGAGGCTGAAAGTCCTTCTGGAACCAAGTGCTACACTCATGTGCAATTCTCAGCTTCATTAATTTGTTTCTGAAAATTTATATTGAGTATACTTATGGGATGAAAACTATCTTTACCCAATTTACAACTTGAGTAGAATCTGTAAATAGCAGGTGTGAAAAGCAAATGGCTGTATGGAGTGGTCAAAGAGAGCAGATGGCTCTCCTTATCTCTGCAGGGGACAGCTGACCAGCACTCTGGGCTCCCCATTTACCTAAGAAAACACAGGGATGTGACTGCATCTTGATTTCAAGGATTAGGTTGTTTGGAGACAGGTAGACTGCAAAATGTGACTTTTAGACTTGACAGCACTGGTGATCCAAAGAAGCAAAATATTTGGTTAAGCTTTCACTTGACTGCTAATTTTTCAGTTATTTATAGTTTTAGGCCACATTTATTATCATACTTATGAACCAGAAGCAAGTCTAAAAGACACCCTGAAACATTCGCGATGCTTGCATGTCTCGTTTGTATTTAAGAACGATCTATTTTTATCTTTAGTTCCTGAATTCCTGGTCCTGGAATCCTCATTAATTGGTTTGAGAGAGCATGGAGGGCTGAGCACAGTGGCTCAAGCCTGTAATCCCAGCACTTTGGAAAGCCAAGGTGAGAGGATTGCCTGAGCCTGCAGGTTCGAGACCAGCCTGGGAAATGTGGTGAGACCTCATCTCCACAATAAATCAAAAAATTAGCCAGGCATGGTAGTGCATGCCTGTAGTTCGGCTACTTGGAAGGTTGAGGTGGAAGGATCGCTGGAGCCCAGCAAGTTGACGCTGGGGTGGCTGTGAGCATGCCATTGCACTCCAACCTGGGTGACGGAATGAGTCCAACTCAAAAAAAGAAAAAGAGAGAGAGAGCGAGAGCATAGATGGTCATTATGTCTAGATTTTAGAAGAACACCTGGCAATTATAGTAAACCTGGATCAGAATAATCGTATCATCAGAATTTGACCAGCGCTCCTTTTTCTGGGAGAAAAGGAAACTCATATTTCTGATTTGTTCAAAGAACGGATTCACAGTATACGCCTTAGGGTTGGTATAAATTCTGACAATTTTCTACTCTAATTAATAATTTTGAACTGTGACAGCCAACATTTGGAACTTGAGACCATCAAAATCCTCAAACTTTAAAGAGAGATTCTATTGTGTTCATGATTTGTACTTATTATAGAAAAATTAATTTAAAACTTTTAAAGATTTTTCAACAAAGAGAGTTAAAGAGAAGGCTGGCTTCTTCCTCTCCTTCTTCTTAGCCCGTGGTTAACCAGATCTTTCACCTAAGTGGAACTTCATCAACAGAGTTATCAAAGAGAATGGAGGGGAAAGCTCCTGTGAATGTCAAGAAAACTCCTGGAGTATAAACAGAGGATGGGGCCCTGCTGACTCCGTCACAGGGGCTGTGGAATGCTACCTGGGCACGATGTACGCTTCACAGCGGTTCTCAAAGTACAATCCCTGTACCTGTAGCATCAGTATCACCTCGGAACCTGTGAAATGCAGATTTTGGAGCTCCAGCCCAGACTTACTGAATCAGAAACTCTGGGGTAAAGCCAGAGATGCAGCCTAAAGAGGCTTCATAAAGGAATGGAAGGACCTGAGGTGCTTTAAGCAGGGGAAGGGCGTGGTCATGTTTGAGTAGCTAACAAAGGCCACGAGGTATCCTCATCTGTACAAACAATCCCAGTTGGGATCAAACAGACACCCATACAAAGGAGAGGGGCACCTCATAAAACCAGAACAGAAAGCCTACTGCTAGAGTATGCAAAAGTAGATTGTTCTGGACACGAGTAAGGGGCTCCCGAGTCACCCCTGCATCTATTGTCAAACTGCAAGGAAGAGACACTCAGAACAAGCATAACACCCTGAAAAGGCGAACTGGAGCTTCTCTTGGCTTCCATAGTCCCAGCAATTATATCATGGTTCTAATTAGAAAGTGGTTATTAGTTTCTCCTACAGCATTGCTAATCCAGCTGTAAACTAGTGCCAGAAACACAGTTTATAGAGCCATAAACAGCCCCAGTAATGGCTGTAGCTATTTGTACAAAGTAGTAAATATTTCAGTTTGTTGTTAAACAAAAGAAAGATTGTACTTTTTTTTTGAAAGGTGAGTAAAGAAAGTGAATTCAATTTCCCCCCAAATGCTACAACAATTGTGGTTCCTGCTCATTGTCAATTAGATTCAAGGTACAAATATTTAGGTTGGGCGAGCAGATGGCCCCGCAGCTGCAGGCCATAAAGTTCCAGTCCACTTTAAAGTAAACACCGTGAGACTCCCAGCTCACAGGTTGAGTGATTCACGGTTGAGCTGCCCCGGCCTCTGAGCGGGGATGAGCCAGCTCGGGCAAGCCGGGTTCCAGAAACAATCACCTGTGTGCCGCAAATGGGGTCCTCACAGAGGTACACGCCTGGGGACTGGCCGTCCTGCAGGCTGCCCGTGGCCACCTCCGACAGCAGGTCCCGAAGGTTCTCTTCCTTCCCCCACACCTCCACGGCTGAGATGCGGACTGAGAAACGGGCACCGGTCTTTTCTTTCCGTTCGTTTATCAGCTTGAAGAGCCAAGAGATGGCACAGGGAATGATGCCAAGGTTCTGCATGGAATCGTCTCTTCCAATCATGGTATAGGATTTTCCTGAGAGAGCCAGGGAAGGAAGAAAAGCAGTGTGAGTGTCCCGGCATTAGGCCATAGGGTCTCCAAATAAATGCCAAGGATGCAGAAGCAAGGCATGGGGAAGTAGGGAGAAGGGAAGGGAAGGGAGGGGAGGGGAGGGGAGGGGAGGGGAGGGGAGAGGACGGGAGGGAAATAGCAAGCATTTGACAACACGGCATTTCCCTGTGCTTCCGTTTAAATGGAGGTAATAAAGAACGTGGGAGCCCAGGCGGACATATGACAAGATTAAATCGCAATGTACCTTGAGAAGGATCCCAAACATCGCAAGCTGGTCAGCCCCTGCACTGCTTCACACATCGTGAGAAGGCGGAGACTTTACATCATTATTATGGTTCCTTTTATGGTCACCCCACAGATTAAATCCACATACTCACACTTTATATCCTTTATCAAGTTAAATGCTGTGTATATTTTTATAGCATGAGCAAATTCCATTAAAATCCGGATCACTGCTTTGGTGGAGATCAGGAAGAGAGGACGGGCTGGGGAAGATGGAAGTGCAGAGAGAGGCAACGGGCTTCTGTCCTGGCTGAGAACTGGCCTCTGTGCCCTCTGTAAGGGCCCTGGTGGAATCTCTGGTGAGGGACACTTTTTGGAGCACCCCAAGTCCTAAACTTATCAAGCATGTAAGGTAAGGCCTTGTTAGCAGATGGCCACAGCTCAGGATTAAGAAGGGACTGCCCGGGGATGTCATTGAAATCCTTGGGGGCAGGGTGGGAGGTGGAGTTGCGGGGAGGCTTTGTTTGCCTTCCTCTCAGGTGCTTCACCAGGGGAGTGCTCCCGGCAGCAGACAGATGCTGTGACCAAGGGTGGCTGTCAGGCTGCCTTCCCAGGCAGGTCGTAACATGGTTCTGGGCTTCGCTTGCAGGTTGCTCCTCTGGCTTTTACAGAGGCTCCATCCACCAACCCGCAGCCTCTTGGGGGATGGTGCAGGGGGCCAATGTGAGCCCCTGTTCAGGAAATGTACATTTTCCTGCTTGCCTTTTGGGCTTGACTCTGACCTGGACCAAGTGGGAACAGCCCTGCTACTCTGCTATTCATCTCTTGGACTTGAAGCTTTTCCCACATGAACGGGCATACGTTTACAACACATGCCTACATTTGAAAGCAGAAATGGCTATTCATGATTATTTGGTTGAGATCCTAAGAGAAACTTAACCCTTCCTTTCACCTGAGGACACCAGGGACCATACAGAAGAACGGATGGGGCAACAGGGAACCTAACGAGCAGCATGGCAAAGCAAAGCGCTCACGAACCCAGCTTGGTGTGGCCGAAACAGAATACACAGCCATCTGCCCCATTGACCACGGACTGGATCACCTCTGCCACGGTCCCAGCACATACTTCAGCCTGTCAGACACAAGAGGAGACACGAGTTGTGAATGTCAGTGTGAACAGACCACAAGGCCAAGGCTCCACCAAAATGTGAAAGTGAGTCCACCTTCCTGGGCCTAGGTTCCCAGGGATCCTCCTGCCTCAGCCTCCTAAGTAGCTGGGACTATAGGCATGTGCCACCATGCCTGGCTAATTTTTGTATTTTTTGCACAGACGAGCTCTTGCCATGTGGCCTAGACTGGTCTCAAGCAATCCTCCCGCCTCGGCCTCCTGAAGTGTTGGGATAGCAGAAGTGAGCCACTGTGCCTGGTCAGGAAACACTAGCTAAAACACAAGCAGCAGGTTTGTAATATGTCTGCTTTCTCTCCTGATTTCCTTCCTCTTTTTCAACCCACATCCTTTTCGTTTCAAAACCAGCCTTGGCTGGGTGTGGTGGCATGTGCCTGCAGTCCCAACTACTTGGGAGGCTGAAGTGGGAGGATCACTTGAGCCCAGAATTAGAGGCTGCAGTGAGCCATGATCAGGACATCACACTCAAGCCTGGGTGACAAAACAAGACTCTCTTAAAACAACAACAACAACAACAACAAAACCAGAAACATGCTGCCTTCTTTTTCTTTCTCTACAGATATATTCAGTGCACATGATCCAATTGCCACATGCCAGTATGTTATGGTGGGTTTTCTTTAACCTGTAGTGTGTGTCTTGACTCCAACTTGATTATTAAGTCCTTAGACAGGACCAGGCTCTTGATGACCTTTTGTATATCCTCATTAACACCCAATAATAGAGCGCTCTGCAAACAACAGGAATTCAGCCAGTGTTGTGGGCCAGTCTGGAAATCTGGAAAACTTCTCTCTCTGGTTAGCACCGGAGACTTTTCACAGCAGCAGGAGAACAAAATTATTTCATGTCCTGCTGCTTTCCTTTCTGGCTTGGGGCTGGAGTCGGCTTGCAGAAGCCTTGAACGGCCGGGCAAACACCAGGGCTGCAGTCATCAGAGCAATGTGTCTCCTGGGGGGACCTGAAAACCAGCCGCCTGGGCCATGAATGTAGTTATTCAGCTCCAGGTTCCAGCAGCACAATGAACCTAAGTATTTGGAAATCAATTTTCTCTCCCAAACTGAAATTGAAAAACCACACTCCCAACAACTGTCAATTGTTCCTGGGTGGTCGTCTCAGCAACTCTGCTGGGGGGTCCTTCAGGGGAAAGGGGGCAGCAGGAGAGGGCTGCTGTGGGGACTGCAGGATCTTTCACACCCCCTAGGTCCTAGGCAATGAGAGACTAGCACTAAACCCTCAGACGGAAGCAGCAGAATCTTGATGGAATTGCCAGAGGCGCTCTGCAGAGTGGGGAGTTACTGCCCAAGGAACAAAGCCTTCCTTGGACATAAAGGACATCTTGAGCCATACATAAAATAAACTGTATTAGATTTTCGAATCACCTGGGAGAAAATTGACTGTGTGTGAACCAAATTGAGTCACTCCTGCAGAGCCCAGGGGATAGAGGAGACACAGAAGGGGTTTCCCAGGGCCAAGATTGGAGCAGGCATCCCCATGCAAAGCTCCTGCCCAGCTATCACTGAGAAGGGAGTGGTCAGGGGTTTGTCCGGTGCTTGTTAAGAGCTGGCAATGGCCCCTGGAGGCCCCTTGCTGTTTCCCCTTGGAGAAGCACGCAACCTTCCTGAGCACATAGTCCATGGGGAGTGCTAGGTGTGCAGGAAGCCTCTGCTCACCTACCCCCTGCAAGCCAGTTCCAGCAGGGGTTTGTCCCAGCAGTGGGCAGCTAGTGACTGCCGTGGCCACATGAGGGTAATAAGGATGGCTTGTCAAAGCATCCTTAGGAATGTGAACTGTTCTGATCATTGCTTAGCTTCAGGAAGCTGAAATCCTCCGAAACCGAGAGAAGGTGAAATCTGTAACTGCCCAAGGTCACCATGGTGGCTGTGGTGGCACAGGCTAACAACAAGGACCCGAGACAAGAGGTTCACTGTGCATACTTCCCTGCTTTTGAGGGCCTAAGGGTACTCAGCTCCACGCTGGCCAGCAGCATGACATTAACATTGACAATGATGATATAATTGTAAAAGTAGCAACATTTATTGAGGGCTTGCTGTGTTCCTGAGTCTGTTGTAAGCACCTCATGTGTGTCAACTCGATGACTCACAACAGCCTGATGAGTATATTTTGGTCATGTCTTCATTTAACAGGTGAGAATGCCAGGGCCCAGAGAAGTTGAATGACTTGCCCAAGGCCACACTGCTAGTAACTGGAATAAAATGAAAGGTGGTAAAGATACAATACCATACTGAGGAGGATACGGAGACATTAATAGGAAGAATCCAGGAAAGGTGTCTGCTCAGGAAAGGGACTCTGAACAAGGGACTTAATCTTTGCATCTCGGTTCCCCTGTCTGTTATATGAAAATAGTAATGCCTCCCTTTCCTGCCCCACAGAATTCTAGGAGGAGTAAAATGGGTTAATGTACATGAAACTTCTTGAAAACTGCAAAGTTTTATGGAAATAAAGTTTATTATAATATCGGATATTTTAACAGAAGTAAGACATTGTGAAATAAGTGAAAGTGCACCACTGAGCATACTGAACTCCGGAACCAAGTGCAAAAAGTAAATAAAGACTAGCAATAAAAATGGCTTTTTCTGGAATAAATCTAAAACTCATTAATAGTCCATAATTTAGGGTTTGCTTTGGAATTCTTACAACTTGCAGAAATTTGCTCCTAAAAAGTTTTAACGGCATTAATTAAATTATTTGTAGGCCATTTATAAGGTCCAATGTCAGGTTTAAATTACTGAGCCCATTGGGTGGTATGACATACAAAAAATGCAATAAAGAGAGAAACTATAGAATTTATTATAAAATACTTTGTCTTCTTATGGCCAAACTCTTTGGGGAACCCACATGCTCAACTTCTTAATGAACGGAGGGTATATGTAATATGTGCTATGTGCCTACGGTGTAATAAGAAGCCCGTGAGAACATCACCACCTCCTACACTCACATGCAACGTGCAGAAAATTAACAGAGGCTAAAAATGGTAACTACTAACACCACTGTCCTTAGGTTCCACTATAGGCTATTAGTTACCATACTACACATGGTTTTGCATAAATCTTGGAATGTACTAGAAATTTGTCAGAAAGGCACAGGTGTCTTCTGCCAAAATGCAGGAAAAGTAGGCCACTATATACGTATAACCTGGGTTATTTATTTCTGCAATTAGTTCTACACTCACATCCCCTCTCCCACTTCCCAGTCCCTTGTAGGAACAGGCACTTAGAAGCCCATATTCACCAAAGCTCCAGAAGCCAATCCAAGTAAGAACAGATGTCTACTAGAAGCTTCAGCTGCACCATCTGGTAGGGTCTACAATTCATTGGCTGCCCATGGTCCAGTAATCTTGGCACCCTGGGCCCCTAAGTAGCCTCCAAATTATACTCAAAGTACACTAACCAAAATGGCCCCAGTTCTCCACCCCACCCTGCATGCAAGTCCCTTGCAATGTTACTTGTAGCTCCTCCATTCACGAGGGGGAGTCTCTTTGCTACCTCTTTATGCTGAGCCAATAGAGTGCAGCAGAAGTGACGTCATGTGAATTCCAAGCCTAGGTCTCAAGAGACCCGAATGCTTGGGTCACGGACTTGCCATGAGCACCAGCCCAAGATAGCCTGCTGGATGATGAGAGATATGTGGAAGACAGGCTAGTTAGTTGACATGGTCAAGGCCATTTTAGACCAGCCTAAAGCCAGCCAACCCCCAACGTGTGCCTGTGGTATAATACAGGATCTACAGGGTTGCCCACCCAACCCACGGCTGATCATAGACACATAAATGAGCTGAGCTGGGAACAGAAGGGCTGCTCAGCTGACTCATGAGCAATAATAAATGTTTCTTGTTTTAAGTACTTTTAAAAATACAGCAATGGGTAACTGATTAAACAACTATGCTTGAGTTTCTCTTCTCCCACTGATCCAGGTCACAGGATGCATGTCGGCCATAGTTTCCCTGCATAGTACTCCAGTTCCTCACTAGAACAACAGATATGCCCTCAACCCCAATGTGCTTATAAAGGGCCCTAGGACATTGTCTAATTCTGATCCAGCTCCTGGAAACATTTCCCTTCTTATATGCATACACCTAGAAGCCCAGGCAGGAGTGGGGTCCAGATGGCCCTGTCACCAGCACCTCGATGCAGTCGTCTCTGTAACTTCCAATTCTGGATAATCTTCCTTCTTCTGTATGCATCCACTGACTGGCTCACTCTTCCTTCTCCTCAAGAATATATTTTGTTGAAATCCCAGCCTACTAATCCTGCCCAAGGTACGGCACCAGTAATTCAAAAGCACTGAACTATTCAATGGAGTTCAAATTGACTTCTAAAAGTTGTCATATAGATGGAGACACATGATCCATCAGAACACTTCAGAAGGGACCCTCCAAGCTCATGGGTCCTAGTGAATGAGTAAACACTTCTTTAATCAAATTGCCTGAGCCTGAGGGGGGGTTATACCCACCTGAGAAGCATCTTGTGGAAAAACTGCATCAAAGGCAAACATCTTCGGAGGAACCTGGTTGCCTCTCTTTGGGAAGGCATTTTGACCTCCACAAGACAGGGGATCATACAAAGTGATTTGCTTCTTCCGTGGGTCCACCTTCAAAAAAGAGCTGGATTCTGAGGTATCGCGGGCCAGGGTGGAACAAATGCGAAGCATGACTTTCACCTGTTAAGAAAAGATAGGCGACAACATGGATTAAGATGGCTGGATATCTTATGAAAGAGTCCCCTTCTATACTTTGGTGATATAGATAAGCGTGGCAGCATCGAACTTTCTCAGGATAAAATATGATGAAACACACAATGAATTAGCAACAGGGTCATGGGAAAATGGATTTATTTATAACTACCAGGTAGAATATTTTTGATATGTCCGTTACTTGAATGCAGTGATGGCACATTGTGTTCTTTGTCTTCCTATTAATATAAATTGAATATTAACTGTGCCCTGGTGGCCCAATTACATACATGAAAAGGTAATCTGGACTGCTAAACTATAGGGGCTAGTGTAGTTTCCTTGAAGCTCACAGATCAATAAACCATGCACATAAAAGTTAGTTCCATAATTTACTCCTTGGCTCAGCTCATCAGAACTCTGGGAGACAAAAATCCACAGTTATTAGTGTCATCATTAAAGGCCTATGAAATGGCTTGTTTTTAATGGCTGGCATCTGAAATGTGTTCCAAGGGGCAACCGTGATAAAAGATTGGTTTGCAGCATGTTATTTGGGATCCCATTAAGTGAGTGCAGAGAAGTTGTCATTTCAGGGAATGAAAGTGCATCTCTGAAGGAAACAGAAGGTAGTGCCCTTTAACCCACCCTCTGAGTAATTGAACATGAGCATCTCTAGTGCTCACGAGCAACCCGGTCTGCTCCCAGGCTGAGCACAGTGTTTATGGAAATGGACAGCTTGTCTCGGGGTCCTAAGGTGAGAAGAAATCAAACTGAAGCCACACACAGGCCTAGAGGCTATGAGTCTGGGAAATAGACAGTATCTGCTCTCACCAGCTCTTAATTTCTGTGTGGCTAGCTCAGCCCAACATATAGTGGGCACTTTTTTGAGCACCTACTATGTGCCAGGCACTGTGCTGAGCATGGGAGATGTAAAGAGATACATCACGCATAGGGTAGCAGGGCAGACAGACATAGAGAGGTAACTTTGGTAAGAGGTGGCAAATTCTGAAGGTATGCACAAGGATTATCGTTACACTCTCTGCACCTTACCCTCTTTGTCTAGTCAGTTGTTAGATCTGATAAAATCTCTGTCATGCAATTTTGGGGGAGTTGGTTGTAAATTTTTAAATAAAGTCTTTCAAACATACAGAAATGCTCAGAGAATAATATTCATTGTGCATGATGGAGTAAGGGCATCCTCCTGCTCATCTCAGCTCTGTCTGCTGAGGCATGAGGATCAATCTTAAGAGTACAAAGCTTAAATGTAAAGAATGCCAAGGGCACCAGGCTCACCAGATGTCGCTCAGAACTTAAGGCTAGTATTCAAGTGTGGACTTGAAGGCCGGGCCTCATGGTGGAAGGGGCCCAAGGGTAGGATGTGGATGAACTCTCTGGGTTCAGATCTTGATTCTCCCACTGTGAGGTCATAGAATGATCTATGCCACTTTCTGAGGGTCTATTGTGTGCTAGGACTGTGCTAGTATCTACATTATCTCATTTAATCCTCCTGATAATCCTGTGTATAGGTAGTTGTCCAGATTGTATGGATGAGAAATCAGACGTCACCTAACTTGCCCCAGATCACTGCACCTGTGGGTGATAGAGCTGGACTCTGATCCTACCTCCAAAGTCCACTGTCTTTCCATCATGCCAACTGCACCTCCCACAAATAGTCACCCTTCTCAGAACCTCAGTTTTCTCACCTGTATAGTAGGAATAACATGGGCTGTTGCAAGCACATGGTAGGTGCTTGATTCCTGTTTTTCTTCCTCCCTTTGGATTATGAAATCTTATCATTCCCAACCACAGAGTTAATAATAAGGTTTTAGAACTCCTTGCTCTGGATCCTGGGTATCATGAATCACAAATGGGATACCATGTGGGATCATGACAGATAGAGCTCGTTATTTCACACTGGGCCAGGGAAGGCTCCTATCTGTAAGATGCCGTCAACTCCACACAGCTGCTGCATATAGGACAATGACCACTGAGTTTATCTATATTCCATTCTGACAATTTTTTCATTCACTCTGACTTTCTATAGTCCGATTTCCATTCCATCCGTTTCTATAGATTAGCCCAGTCACACGGCAGGTGAACTCACAGCATGTATTCAAAGCCCAACTTCTAGTGGGCACCTAGGGCCTTCAGGCTTTCTGTATACAATCTCCCAGCCCAGCCTCTGAGCGTCACAAGTCAAGGATGCTGCAGTGCCAGGCAGTTCGGATGGAGTCCATGGTCCACTGCTTTTCTGTTTCACAATTTTGCATGCAATTTCTGGGTAACTAGAGGTGCTGAATGTAAAATATGAGCCGAGCCAGGCAAGAGCCTACAAGGAGACACGGGAGAGAAGGGGCCGAGCGAGTGAGTCATCGGCCCAGGAGGAATGCTCCTGCATTGTAATGAAGTTCTGGTCTGTGCTGTATTTTCTGCTGATAGGCTGAAGATCCCAGCCACTGGCCTGGCCAAAGAGCTACTCAGTTCTTTAAACATTCATTGAACTCTGAGCTGGGAGAAATGACACACTCCATTCTTTTCTTTGCAACTCATTTAAATAAATGGAGATTTCTTTTTCCTTAAAGGAAGGAAATTGAGTTTTTCTGCTTCACCTCCTTTGTGGCATTATTCCTTCAGTCTAGCACTCCACTTCCTGCTTAATCCGCGGTAATTAAAGTGCTTAGGAGACACCACTTGTGATGGAGAAAGTCCCTTGGACTTCTTGCCAGGAGTTGTTGCTTTTGTTACCAACACTCTTAGGTTCTTGGCAATGTCTGCTTGAGCCCTGACTCCCCCCTACTGTTTTATGTTGAGGATTTGGGCCGTTGTCAACATGCACGGCCATCTCCCAGCTCTCAGGGTTAAGGAGACTGTCACTATTTCTCTCTCAAAGGCAGACCTGGTGGGGAACGGGATTCAGGAAGCTCAAGTCCAAGTAGAAGCAAGGAAGGCTGGGCACCCTGATTCAAGTGAGAGGAGGTTGGCACTTCCTGCACAAAAGTCCCCACTGGTGGGGACCCCACTTCACCTTGTTTGTCTAATTATTTCAGCGGATGGTGCGAGACAGTTGTTGTTCTAGGCAGCAGTTGTCTTTATGTCCCACTCATTAATCATTTCAGCACCCCTTTCTGGATGGCATTATGGGACCCAGGGAAAAGGGAATTGTGAGGCACTCACCAAGAGAGGCAGAGTCTTGCACCTGAGTTGCACAAACACTCCATCAAGGCGAAGACAATCGCCCACCGATGCATGGTCTGACTGGAGGCTAACGAGGCGCGGGCCCCATCATTGCCCACCACCAAGTCTACACATGATCACGCAGACAGATATTCTTGTTCTTCCCTAGTCACAGATTGCAGCTACATGGTACAGACCTAGGAGGCTCTTCATTGCCCGTTTCTCTGTCTGGCTGGAGGTTTTCTTCAGACTATAGGGCTCAGAAGGGCTTTGGCAAAATCTGACTGTACAGAAGATGCCTCAGCAATCAGAAAGACTACAGGCTGAGAGTGGGGGCTCACACCTGTAATCTCAGCACTTTGGGGGGCTGAGGTGGGAACACTGCATGAGCCTGGGAGTTCGAGACCAGTCTGGGCAACATAGCAAGACTTCGTCTCTACAAAAACATAAACAAAATTAGCTGGGCGTGGGGCATGCACCTGTAGTCCCAGATGCTGGGGAGGCTGAGGCAGAAGGATCACCTGAGCCCAGGAGGTCAGGGCAGTGATAAGGTGTGATCATGCCACTGCACTCCAGCCTGGGTGATAGAGTGAGACTCCAACTCAATAAATAAATAAAATGAAAAAAAGAAAAGAAAGAAAAAGACTACAGATGACGGGAAGGTAGCAGGAGCAAGAGAGAACTCCGTCAGCCATTCTCATGCATGAGCTATGCTTAAACTCCTGCTGTGGATGTCCACAATGAAGGCCTCTCTGGACACGGATAGAACAGTAGACTGTTCCTGACCTGAGCCTTGGCCACAATAAATGCTCAATAAGAGTGTGTCGGCAATGATAAATGGCTTTTTCTGCTACAAGGTTATAGGCTGTAGAGCTAATTTAACAGCTAACATCTTTTGATTTCTTTACATTTCTCTGTTGTAACTCCCTGTACACTGATGTCTGAGTTCAAAGATTTTTAAGAATCAGCTCCGTAGAAACTGATCATGGTAAAGATGGATCAACTCAGCCAGGAATACCATCTGGCATCATTTCTGTCTCAATCCAGCAGCATGAGAATTATCTTTAAGCCTTCCACATCTATTCTTCAATTCCTGAAGCATGTCTGGAGATTGTTCTCCAAGGTAGATCAGAGGTAGAGAAGACGGGGTGATCACAACCCACCAACAAGAAGAATGGTGGGAAAAGCAAAGTAAGACTGTCAGAGGGAATTCTAAAATCAAAGGGGTCATTGAAGGAGACAGATGGCGTTGCCAAACTGAGGCACCAGCCAGCCACCATCTCCAGCTCGAAGCCCGCTCCCCTTCTACAAAGACAAGTGGCAGTGATGGCGACGCTGGGACTTCTTGTGATGAGCGCACTGCAGAAATGCTGATCCTCCCGTCTCTCAGCCTCATGTGAGAGAGAGCCAGTGTGTGGGTGCCAGGACACACCTGAGGAGAGCTGAGAGTGGAGCTGAAAGGTAGCACCTTGTTGTCCTTGGTACACACCAAGAAGCTCTTCCTGGTTTCCACAGGTCTTTAGATGGGATTCATATGTTGAGGGAAAAACTTGGAAGGATAACAAAAGGGTCCATTGTATCTCCCTTGGTTCAGGTACCGGGTGTGTGGGTGCTGCAGCCAGGCAGAAGCAGAGACTGGGTCGAACCCAAATGTCATCACCACTGAGTGGCCGTGTGACCTAAGACAAAGGCTGTGGCTTCCTTACCCCTAAAATGGGTCTGTTGTGCTGCCTCCCTTGAAGGATAGTTGTGAAGAGTCAAAGAGATAAGAATAGACTGTAAGTGGCACACAGATGTAAAGGACTCAAGAGAGAAAG